GTAAGGTATTGTCCACCGGAGAAGTAGCCAGAGGAGGAGAAGTTGATGGTCGGCCGACGGTTTGCCAATATCCCGTTGGTCGTTGCTCGTCAATCGTCTCGGCGAGATGATAGAGTATGCGATTTATGTAGCTCTACACTGAATCCTCGTATTCCCAATCTGGGGATTGCAAGATGTCGATTTCCCCTTGAGCATTGTATGCGAATCCGTACTCGACCTCAGGGTCGAACGTGCACTAATGGTAGATGGGAGGAGGAAGTTTGTCTTCTCTTCTTTGCTCTAAAACTCATGAAAGAATTAGGGTGTCCAATAGAAACAATGGGAGAGGAGGGGCCGGCCAAGGAGAGAGGGAAGGTTTGTGGGTTATGTTAGGTTTAGGTTTGGGAAATCCCAATAAACATGAAATTAATTTTAGGTTTAATTGATTTTGGAGGGAATTGAGTTTGACATAGAGTTCAAATTCAAATAGGTTTTAGAGATTAAAGAAGAAAATCAATGGAGGTGGGCTAGTATGGGGGGGGGGTGGCATCTAGCCAGGTGGGGGGGGGGGGTGGCATCTAGTGAGAGGGAGGTGGGTTTTGGGAGGAGATTTAAAAGTTTCCTAAATGAGTTCTCTAATTTAAGAAAAGGATAATTAAATCAAATTGGACTTAGATTTGAAACTTTCCTAATTTAGCTTTTGTTAATTTAGGAAATTATTTGAAATTCAAAATTTGAATTTCAAATTGAGGTAATTTATGTCCCAAATTAATTAGGCTAGTTTAGGTAAATAATAATGATGATTGAATTCATCATTAAAGGGGAAGGAGGGTGTGGCTGGCGGTGGAGCTTGAGGACAAGGTTTGGCCAGTGGTTGTGAGGGCTTGGCTGGCGATTATGGATGGGGGAGGGCTAGAGGCCGATGGGTAGGAGGATGGTGGGGAGGTGGCCGGCGTTTAGGGCAATGGGAGGGTACAGCCGGCGGCTTGGAAGGTGAATGGTGGTCGGCCGGTGGGAGAAAAAGGGGCAAGAAGAAGATAAGCCGCGAGCAACAGACTCTTCCAATGATTGACGCGTATTGCGGTCACCCTCACTTAGGGTTCTCTCTTCTCTCTAGTGCACACACAAGAAGAAGTCAAATATGAAATTTTTATTTAATCATTCATTAACCTCTTACAAAGCACAAGACATCTATATATAGGCCTCAATAATAAAGAAAGACTCAAATGCCCTCAGGGCTACAATAAGAACTCACTACCCATAGGGGTAAATTAGGAAAACTAAAATGCAAAATAAATAAAACATAGAATACATGAAAAGTAAAGACTCTGAATCGTAGTCGTTGACCTACTATTCCGTCGATGATACACATGTCGAAATCTCTGGCTGATGTCCTCATCATTCTCCCCATGTGGGAGAAAGCTCGACCCCGTCAAGTAAGCATCCCTGGAACTCTCGTACCACTCTAGCAGATCAGGGTCCAATCTCTCCAGCACCTCACGGTCGATCCACGTGTTCTCCGTCCCCGTTTTCCCTGTCCATTGAACTAGATACCTTCAGCTTCCACTGCCTTTAGTGGAAATAATCTCTTCACTAAGTATTGCCTCAACCTTTTTCGTAGTGGGTAAAAAAGGGATGTTTGGGAGTGGAGGTAAGCTAGGGTTCTCACTAGGTAGGTTCACACAAGGCTCATTATTTAGTGGATTAGAGGGGTTGAACTCTGGACCCTTAAAAGCTACTAGGTCTTCGATGTTAAACATATGATTAATGTTAAAACCTTTAGGAAGGTCTAACGCATAAGCGTTACTATTTATTTTTGATGTTATTTTAAAAGGTCATGCGCTTCTCACATTTAACTTTTTAACGATCCATTGTGGGAAGCGCTCCAGACAAAATCCAAACCATTACAAAGTTTCCATCTTCAAATTCTTTGAATCGTTTCTTGAGATCCGCATTAAGTTTGTAGTTAGCATTGCTTTGTTCAATCTTTTTATTAATTTTTTTGTGCAATTCTTGTAGATGTGATGCAAATGCAGATGATCTATACTTTTACCCATAGAGATTAAGTCTATAGGCTCTCTAGGTTGGTATCCGAACACAATTTCAGCTGGATTCATACCCGTGTTCGATTCACAGAGTTGTTATAAGCCAACTCAGCTATAGGTAACTTGGAATCCCAATATCGAATGTGTTCACCTACTAGGGTCCTTGTTATAAGCCTAAGCTCCTATTCACAACTTCTGTTTGCCTATCAGTTTGTGGGTGAAAGGAAGTGGACAATTGGAGTTTGGTACCCATTTTGTGCCAGTCTTCCAAAAATAGCTAGTGAACTTAACATTCTATCTGAAACTATGATTTTAGGAAGGCCATGAAGTCTAACTACCTCATCGAAATATAGTTTTGCAATGCGAGAGGTGTCAAAAGTCTTGGAACAGGGAATGAAGTGTGCCATTTTTGAGAATCGGTCGACTACCACATAGACATAATCATGCTTCCTAATGGTCTTGGGTAGTCCGAGGACCATTAGAGAGATTTTTGGTAAAGAATTTGCATACAGACAGACCTGTGGTTTTTTTAGCTTGTGAGCTAGTCTCCTTTCCCCTTCCCCTCTATTACTTCGTCTCGGTCATCTACCTTTACTTTTCTATCCATGGTTCCCATCTCATTTGTATCATTCTTCTCTTGCGAGCTTGGTGGTGTTTGCTTCCATGTTTTGGTTGGCATTTGCTGGAGGACTGTGGACTTGTGTCAGATCATTTCAGTGGTAGATTATGGGTGAGATCTATCCTTTGAGCACATATCCTTTATATTTCGAGCTTTGCATGAGAGATGGCCGCTTGTCGGTTGTTCTGAGGGTAGCCTTGTTGTTGTTTCTTTATGTTTATGGATTTTGTAAGCTGTTTCTAGAACCTGTTTCTACTTTTAGTTTTATATGTGGATGCTTATGCTTCATTGAAAGGAAAAGTTTTCTAGTTGCTTTCCTAAGTGTTCTATATCCAATATTTAGACTTAGCTTACATCAGTTTTCTTGTAGAGTCGTCAATCTGGTGCCCGTCTACTTCGACTAGCCCAAAACCAAATAGGGTTCTACCGACATGCATATAATCATACAAGGTATATGCTTTTATGAATAACCAACAATCATTACATAAATCAATATGTCAGATATGATTGATATATTTGCTATGATTTATAGGAATGAGGTTCATTTTATTTAACAAAGCTAAATTAGATAAATTTAATTGTTCCAACATAAACTTACATGAATAAGAACTAATGAGCAATAAATCACTCCCAGGCTGATTCATTAAGAATGATAGCAAATGTTACTACATGTATGATTTTATGCTAAGGAATTCAACATAGGACTTGCAATTTAAATAGTTATAAGGGAGCCTATTACAATTGGCATGGATTACACCCCTAACAAAGAATTGTACATTTATACAAAAAATAAATAACAATACCTACCTCTAGGAGAGTGACACAAGATCCAAAGCCAAAAGATGCTCTATTGATCACACCTCGAGGGTAAAGCTCGAAAGTCCTACAAACAATAAATTCTATTTTTTAATATAACACTAAATGACTCCAATATATAAAACACAAAGCTCACACAAGTCAACCTAAACTTTGTTAGAAAAACCTACAAGATTTAACATGAAATAATGATGTCAAAGGTATCTAAACAATGTATGATTCCCTAATTTTTGAACTAAATTGCAACATAAAAAGAGAACATACCAACATGAATAAAAAATACAAAATCATGTAAGTATGATTAACTAAGATCTAATGTCTCCAATCAAATTTAAGAATTCAAATAACAATAATGATAATATTAACTTAACCCTTGTTAAATGATATCACACAACGAGGGAAGGAGGAGGAAGGCTCAAACTTGATCCAAGAGAAAGAAGGAAAAAAAAAAGAAAAGAAAAAGGCAAGGAAAGATGGAAGGAAAGAGGGAAAACTCACTGCACAAGGAGAGGAGTTTGAGAAGAGTTTGCCGAGAGTTACCATTGTGAGGAAGAAACAAAGGAGGCTAGGCGGCTGCTGCGAGAGGGAAGAGAAGTATTCGATGCCCTAGGTTCCTTACTAGGCTCAAATGACTAGAGAGGGATGCTATAGGAGGGAGAAATCAATTCAAATGGGAAACAATCATGTGATTTACGCGATTGGGGAGAGAGACGAGGCGAAACAGTGGTTGATGTGCGTCTGCGTGATCCACGTGAAGGAGCGGGAGGAGGGTCGGTTCGGCTGCTTGCATGTGCAGGAGAAATTGGACCGGTTATGTGCGGTTCAGGTTATAACAGATTTAATGAAATCTTGTGGAGTAATTGTGGGATTTGTCAAGAAATCTGATTACCTATCCAAAATGTAATTCTCCACTTGTGGCTTACTTGCCTAAGAAAATAGATTATATGAACCGAACCTCTATATTGTTTTTTTTGTGATTCTAGAGAGTCCTCTAAAAAATCCTTTTTCTTTTCTACAATATCTCACAGTCCCTACATTGCATGTATATATGCACTTTTGATACCAAATAGAGCAAAAATTTCCTGAGAGGATAAGAATTCCAAATTTGTTCTTATTAAACATAAATGTATAATACTGGTTGAAATTTTCTGTTTCTTTCCCTTTATTTATTTTTATGATAGGGGGAAAAATTAAGCATGAGGAGTATTTTCACGAATATATCGCCTGATTTACCTGAACAACCCCAAAATCCATTTAGGGTTGATTTGGTATTACTTGATACGTTGAAGTTCAACTCATTTGGTATTTAATCAATACATGTATGCATATCAGATGAAGGTGAGAGAAACTGAGTTGATGGCTTTTATGAAATTATTGAAAATTGCATTAATGAATGTTTGGTATTTCAAGTTGGACATGCAGCATTGCGACTTTGGTTGAGAAAGACTTAACTTCCCTTGTGCATGAAGTATATGCATCAATACTTTGATGGAAAATATTTTAAGACTTTAAAATGCCTTCCATTATATCCTTCTATGCAGGAGATGTACACCCAGGTTGGACCTCAGTTTCTCGAAGAACTGAACCGTCACCAGCTCCCATCATCCATGGTAATGATCAAATATTTCATTCCAATTTTATTTGTTTTTTGTGGATCATTCTGGAGAAACAGATGTTCTTCTTCTTCCAATATTTTTTTTCAGAAATATTGCATGAAGGAGTGACATTAATTATATTCCTTTTATCAACTTTGAGTTGCAGATGAAAGATATTAGTGCTAGACTGGCAAGAATAGAACCAAAAGTTCACCAATCAGATGGAGCTGGAGCTCATTTCATCTCCACCGAAATTAAGTCATCTAATGTTAGCCACAAAAAAGGCAGTCCTAGGACTAAGAGTACTCCCAGGGAAACCTCACTTTTTGGAGGTTTGTTCTACTTTCTTAGCAGTCTCAAACACCTTTTTTGTTCTTCTAAATTACTAGGAAATTTGTAATAAGTTTGTTGCCATCTCACACCAATACCATTTGCTCAGCTGGAAACTTGAGTTTAACAATTTTCAGCAGTTTTACGGTCTGCCTTATTATTATGCAATTTTTTTTTTTCATTATATGAAAATTAATTGACCACATTGTCAATGGACAGGGTGAGCATGTTTTATTTCTTCAAGGTAGTACTTTTTATTTTTTATTTTTGGATTATTAATTTAAAACAGTTATGACATCTTCACCTTTATGGATTTGAGTTGTTGGTAACAAAGAAGTCACTGTGATGATTGAGGCATATGATTGTATTAGGGAGAGATTTTAAGCAGTCTTGAGGTAGTGAAAAAATAGACTACATGGTTCGCACAACATATAAATTGCGAGAGGCGGGATTAAGATGCACCAAACAGTTTGGCAGTTATAAATAGTGTGAAGAGGCAAGTTAGAATATGCAGGATAAGGTAGGAGGGGTTGATGAAAGTTGAATGGCTAAAATTGTGCAAAATACTTGGAATCAACACTACATGTTGCATTCTCCAGTGGGGAATAACCATATAAAAGCCAATTACAAATTATTACTATGCAATTGGCTAATGATGATAATGATGTTGATTGTACCAATAAGGCAGGTAGATATAATTAGTGTGTAACAGTAAGAGAAAATTTGTAGGATACGAATTAAGAAGAGACAGGCCAAAAGATAACATGGCTAAAATTATGAAAAAGGCTCCCATCATGTTGCACTCATAAATGGAGGAAGATTTTAAAAGCCAACCTTAAGTAATTATGTGTAATGGTTATGTATGATGACATCCTCAACATCACTAAATCTTAATTTTAGAGCTCTTGTTTTTTTAATTTCATTTTACAAAAACCATATGTTTGATTGATTGATACCAGTAATTTAAATTGTAGAGCTTGTTGCTGGAATACATAAGCTTTAATAATTTGTTTGATTAGTTTTTTAGTAAAATATAATGAATTTTGATTTATGTAGTTATGATGCACTTGTTAGTAGAATTTTCTGCATGCTAATTTTAGATTACCTAAGCAAGTGCGTACTTGGAAACTAAGCTTACATGGAAGCAATAGGTTTATAGTCTTTGCTGTCATCATCATTAGCCTTATCTTAACTATTTGGGTTGGCGTTATAAATCCTCAAATTTCCTTCATTTCTAATTAGAGATACTTGAGGTGCTAAACTTATTCTTAGCAAGTTATTTTGAACAACTTCTATATTACCTTGTGCTAAACCTTCTTGTTTCTAGTCCCTTGACACTAATTTTATGTAATCTCTTAAGAGAAATTATTAGGTGTGGAACCCAAGTTCTATGTGTGGCAAATAAGATTACCCAATTGTCCTACTTTTTACAGAGTTGTGAAGAACATTTATCTTAACTTTTTGCTGTTATCCTATTTCTGTCATGTCTGCATTGTGTCATGCCTGTGTCATTGTGTCCATGTTGGAGTGGCCCTGGCATTGTGTCCGTGTCATGTAATGTCTATGCCACTGTTTTTGTGTTTCATTGGTGGGCGTGGTTTGTTTGAAATCTATCAAGCCACCCTAGTTTGTGTTATGCTTCTATTGCGCTTTCTCATGCTAGCATTCTTGGATATAAAATCAATTATTGCTTTCAAAATAATTTTTTTCTCATTAATCTATCACAATGATTTGATCTAGTAATCAAATGCCGACTTTATATATTCATTACATCTAATCCTTTTTTCATTTTACAAAGATGTTTGTCAGTTAGCATGATCTTTATTTGAAGTTTTGTATTTCTTCTTCAAACTAACACATACTTCATTCAACACATATTAAATATTGCGTAATTAATCATATTTAAGTAAATTTTTTACTCATTGTTGTCATCAGCAGAGTTTTTTTAATTGCTATGAGGTAGATGTTTCTTCTTTTTTTTTTATCTAGGGTCTTTCTTCTTTGTTGTCCAGGTCCACCATTGTCACCTTGAGTGCTTTCTTGCCTTTCTTTGTTAATCTATCCTTCTTTACAAGCGAACATTCCCATTGAAAAGGCCTGAGCTTTTTGCAGTTCTAGTATGTTCTATCCTCCTTTTCCCATCATGTGCACCATATCTAAATTTATCTTTAGAATTCTTAAAATTACTTTTCTTATTTCGGTGCTTGTGATTGTTCTTTTTCATCATATTCATGAAGCGTCTTATTTGTTGTGCAATATTTTGGGGCTGTCTCTTGGATTATGTATCGTCACTATCATCTACAATTTGACTTTTGAGGGTGACCATTTTGACATTTTTGGCAAGGTTTCTTCTTCATCTCTTGAGGAAATTTTTGTTCAGGTACTACCAAAAAATCCTGTAGTTAATCAATAAAATAAATAGATAACTTTTATGTCAGATATTCAACAGTTTGGGTAGAGAGCTAAAAACCTTATCAACTCGTATGGTATGTTCTTTACCAAGTGCATGAGTTCTTTGGTGATCTTATTAATTTATTGTATGATTTTGAATTGGTTTCTGTCATCTTCATCTTGAAAAATGTTCATAGTATTACAAATGCAAGTTAATGCACGTTTCCTTTACCTCATTTGTTCTTTTGATCAATTTGTCCTACATCTCCTTTACTATTCTTAGTGTACAGATTTTCATGTAATCATCATGTTTTGATGCATAATAAATAGCATTTACACTTTTCACATCTGTGATCCAACTCGGCTTGTGTTTAGTCATCTTATGGGTTTTTGAACATGGCCATCAATAACATTGCTTGTGGCCTATAACTCTTAAAAAATGAGGCCCCAAATATGCATATAACTTTATTATAGATACCATCACTAGATAATTAAAAAAATGGGGCATTGTTAGACAAGGTGGCCTAGCGGTCTTCTAACCCTCAAGTGAGGGGCTAGAGTCCAATTCCTGTGCTATGGTTTTGTAGAGGGATCTATTTTTCGATGCAAGTTATTCTAATACCAATTGATGGTTAAACACTTGAGATTTTTTTTTTTAATGTGGTTTGTCCTAAGATGCTTGCCCCACACCTCGATAGTCCATGTGCTTACAATTTCGCTATCTTTGTTTATTCCCTTGCTTTTGGCCAATGTAGAAAGTGATGCGCGTCATTTTGCGACCCTCTTATTCAACATGAGACCTGGCAGAGCTGGGCGACCCAATCAAACACATTTCCCACCAATACTCATCCTAACTCTTTTTAGTCAGAATTGGGTGAATAGAAAACTTGTCTAGCTAGGTTCTTAGAAAACGTGAAATACTTTTCATGATCATCCAATATATCCTACACCCCCATTCATCCAGAAGCTTATGCAATTAAATTCATCAAAATAATTACACAGCTTCTAATTAACATTGTAGAAAATCAACATATTTATACATCATAGACTTTTTTCTTCTTTGATTCACCTAAAACTTTATATGAAAACACTAAGATGGAAAATATAAGATAAAGAAAATAATTCATCCGACTGATCATTTTTGCTGACATGAGTATTGGTATTAATAATCATAGTATAATTAGCTTAGTGCAATAAACATCTAATCGAGACAGGATTTAATTATTAAACATGTGAAGGACACAATCATAAGCAATAAGCAGGATTACCTGAAAGGTGTGAAATATAACTGTTTAATTTTCAATCATTCAATGCACTATGTTAGTTAAATGTTAATGTCAAAATACTAGTTTCACCTTTACATTTATATTCTTATTCTTGCTTGTCATAATTTAAATGCTTCATATAATATCTGTCCAGTTTTTGACACATTTATATATCATATGGCCGTCTTCTAGCCCATTGGCCTATAGTTGTAGTTGATAAGGATTGAATATGCTCCAACATAGCAGCTATTGACAATGCTTTGATAATGCTGATACTATTCAATTGTTTACTTATTGAGAGTTGAGAGGCAAATTATTAGATCCGGTCACCGAACCTATTTCTAGGTGCGGACATCCACTAAAAATTTGCCACGTGGACTGCGCTTTGACTCAAAAAAACGCAGTCAAAAGAGCAGGTAAAGCACAGGTAAAGCGCAGTCAAAGTGTAGTCAAAGCGCATTCCACGTGGCAAGTTTTTATTGGATGTCCGAACCTATTTCTAGGTCAGGTGACCGGACCTAATAATTTGCCCCAATCCAGAGGCTCAATTCGACAATACATTTGACTATCTCTGCGCAAGTCATCATAATGTGACAACTTACCCCACATAACATGACCTTTCATAGATGTCCTTTTTCAACATCATTATCGTAAGCATTTAATATGTACTTAGCATTATTATGCATATGTTATTATCAAATTATGAGTATGATTTGTGGAAAGTAACATATGGTTACTTAAACATACGTAATGGATCATTTGACAATTATGAGACCTGAATTATATAAACAGTAACTTGAAGTTACTTGAAACATGTAATAGATGGAGTGGAACTTGCGGAGAAACGAAAGAGGTTAGAAGCCGATACGAAAGGTGGAAAGAGCTTGCAAGATTTCCAGAGGAGGTGGAAGAAGCTCGCAAGCTTTTCCAATAACCCGCAGGTCAATAGCAAAATGCTCTCAATATTCAACTACTCCTTCACAAAATATCTCATATTTATAGGTAAGAAAGGAGAATGCCAACAACCACTTTAATGAATTTCCACAAGAACCCAAGCATCATAAGTCACGGATTTCTCCTTGCTTTTCACGGAAAAATAGCCCAGTCAAAGAACCGAAGAGGCAGCCACAGAACCAAAGAGGCCCGCACAAAACCGAGGCACCAAAAGACACGCCCATAAAAAACATACTAATGTTCAATACAAAATAAAATACAGAATATTTGATAGCATTAGCTTCTGAGAAAAACCTTATGGTCTGATGAATTAACAACTTTCCTGAATTAACTATTCCAGACTATATGGACATGGTACATGCCTTTTTTGACAGTATACATTTGTGTGTGTGCTCTCACATATGCTGTTTGTTCTTATCACTTCTGGTTAATTGTTGATGTACTTTATTTACACTTAATATAATTCTATGTTATTTTTGCAATTTTTTGCTTCTTTTTAGTTGGGAGATGAGATGGTGCTTTGCTCCCATTTAATGACTTTGTTTACTGCTTTTGTGTTACAGGGGAAGCGGATGGCACTGAAAAGCCTGTGGAACCTATTAAGGTGTATTCTGAGAAGGAACTCATTAGGGAATTTGAGAAGATTGCATCTACTTTAGTGCCTGAGAAGGATTGGTCACTCCGAATCTCAGCCATGCAGAGAATTGAAGGCCTAATTTATGGAGGTTATAGCACCCTGATTTTGTTACATATAATTTGTTGTTTCTATCGCTGGTGCCCGACCTCTTCCTCATGGATATACCTTTTGCCTGGCTTGAGGCATTTGATGTCTAGGATATTGATTACAACTTGGTTGTGTGTAATAAAAGGAACACACCTGAACCTTACCCTATCCACGTTGGATGGTTTAGGATTGTTCCTAGATTGACTTGTAATTAATATGCAAGTGAGCTAGTTCAATCACTTATTTGTTTATTTTGTGTGCGTTTGTATGCATCTCCCGAGTCCCTATCTCAGTGAATTTGATCCTATTACCTTTCAGTATTTCATGAAGAATTTTTGTGGGACTTGATCCATTTAAGTTGCATGAAGAATTTTTGTTAGGAGATCACGCTAACTTGAATCCTAATATATACTGTTTGTGTCACTTCTCTTTTTTTTTGCTCTTGTGTAGTCTTCCTCTATACAATTCATATGATTTTCATCCTCTTCTTTTATGTATTGCTAGTGTGGGAAAATAATTTCTTTGGGATTTATCTAGATTTAGTGAGTAATATCCATTAATCCATTAATGTAGTGTATCATAGAATATTGTGTTCACCCATTTATTATTTATAAGGGTTTTTTGTTGAATAAAAAAAAAAGAAATTAGTCTGCTTCATTAGTATGGTATGAGAGCCGGTTAATTCTTATTGTAGATGCCACCCCTTGCCCCCTTCTTTCCCCCATCACTTTGACTCTCTTGTCATGACTGGGCCCAAATACTCGAACTAAAGAGGCGGCAATGAACAGTCGGACGGTTATAACAGTTCTTTTAATTTCAAACATAGTTTATCATCTACATTTCAAATAAACTGAAGAGCCACTAATATAAATTTTCATCAAAATACTAATACAATTTTCACATCTTCTTTATTTGTATAAACTTTATATTACTTGCTTTCATTTGAGCGTCATTTTCTATAGACTTATTCCTCTCTTTCAACTACTTCTACTTCTCTAATGATTTACCTGAAAAACTTTAGTTTAATAGTTTGAGTTTACAAAGTAAACTAGTGGATAATCACCATTTCATATACAATAGTTAATCATATATATAAAGCATGCATGTTCCTTTGCTTTTTTGATACAGTTAACATATGCATCTTCTTTCATATACTATAAATTTTAGAACTTATCTTTCACATAAATTACTTTTTCCGTTTCATTTGTCCATTTCCATTTAATAATTAGTTTATTTCCATTTTCATTAGTACAAGAACTCCGACTAAATGTATCAATAACGGTACAACCATTTCCATTTTCTTTTCCATTTTCATTCAACGTGCACGGGTATATTGCTTTCCCAGCCAGTACCATACGGGGATGAACTCCTGTAACTTGCATGCATCCACTTTTTTCATCTTTTAATTCTTCAATTTCAGTTAAATCATCATTCAATATTTTATTTCCTTTACATTTTATAGTAATATATCTAGTCATTTTATTCATATAGCGAATAATTCACATTTTCATTTCTATTCATATAATCTTCATTATATAATAATCATTTCATCAACATAATACTCATTACATCAACATAATACTTTAATCTATAAGAGTTGCAATAAATAAAGCGAAATTAAATAACATAAAAGGAATCCGGAATTAATATAACACAATTGAAATTACCCACTTCATTTACTTCTGTTCTTCAATCTCTTTTAAATAGTTGATTTCTTAGATAGTCTTCCTTAATCCAACCTAATGTTACACACCCAATTACATAAACTATAATATTTCATTAATTCACATAAATATTTTCTAAATGTAATCTTATCTCAAATCCCTTTTGAGATCCTTTATTGGCTTCAGCACTTCACCTTCGTACACTAGTCTAATCAAAATTCTCAATTTTTCCAAATCATTTTAAATTGCATTAATCATTAGTAACCAGTTTTATAAAATAAATATTATGATAACATTAATTTTTTTAATAACAACCTCAAAAATGTTAATAATCATCTATATAACTATCAACCATGAATTATTTGTGAACATGATTACCTCAATAAGCCTTCTTCTATTACTCTTTGAATCGAGACACTTCCCACCAGATTTCTTCTTCCTATTGAGAATCACCTTTTATTTTGTTAATTAGAGAAATATCATTATAAATATTCTATCTAAGTTGAACAACAAAATCAATAATTTAAACACTTACTATTTCCTTCACAGTTTGAGAAATAGAAGAAACTCTAAAAGAGTCCCCAAATTTATCTTCTTTTTCCTTCAGTTTTTCTTCCTTTACCTTTAGAGAAAACATTCCCCGTTGTTTATATAAAATATCACGGAAGGACTTATATAGAAATGAAAAAAAAATGATAACCAAACATCATTTCTTCTTCTTCCTCTCGTTCACTATTTTCAATCCGTTTCCTACTACTGGAGCGAGTGAAATGAACATATCTCTCACGAGGAGTTGCTCGTTTTCATTCCCGTACACAATTCTTCGCTCGGAATAAAAAACTGGCCCTTCCAGGCCCGTCCGCGCTTGCGTGCGGTCTGCCTGGGCCGAGTCTCTGCTCGGTTCCGCTCGGCTTGCCCGCACCCTCTATCTGTTAAATATGAACCAGTTCTTACATCTCTTATCCCCAAGTTTGCAACTAGCAGTTGATCCCCCTCGGTCTACCCTTCTGTCATGGTCGATCACCAATCTGTCTTATAGATTAGCATTCAATTGAATTGAACCCTTATATCTACATCTTTCTGATTGCTTTTAAACAAGGTTAACACCCTTGTATTGATCATCCAGAACAATCGTTTATGTCCTTTGGCCATTTGTCCTCTTTCTTTTTTTGGCTTGTTTATTTTTGTCTATTGTCTATATTTTTCACAACATATCAAGAGACTTTGCTGGTTCCTATCTAGACGTACGCAATTGCCATTGAAATGGGTGGTTTTATTGATTATCATACATGGGGTTTGGTTGCACCCTCTTATGGGATTAAACCCCATTTCATGTCATTTGGGTATTCATTTTTAAGTTTATACATATCGATCAATTGAATGCTACAAAGTTAGATTGGTGGCAAAAGGATATACAAAGTCTATGGCTTCAACTTTTTTGAGATGTTGTCCCTAGTTGCTTTGTTTAATTCTATTATTTTTCTGTCTATTGCCATTAATCAAGGATGGATATGCTCCAAATGGATGTTAGCAATGCTTTTCTTTATGTGACCTCACTAAAGTTGTTGATTAGAGCAATCTCCATGCCATGTTGCTCTGATGAATAATAACTATGCAAGCTTAAGAAAACTATATTCGGCTTGAAGCAAAGTCCTTATGCTTGGTTAAAAAAATTTAGTGAGATTTTTGTTGAAGTTGTACTTCAAAGTAGCATTGCTTATTAATCTATCTTTTTATGCATTATTTTGTTGGAACAATAATTATTTGCTTATTAATCTATCTTTTTATGCATTATTTTATTGGAACAATTCCGTGAGATTAGTTGTACTTCAAAGTAGCATTCGCCTTAATAGAATGACACTTTTAACATTAATGTAATCAAACAATATTTTCAGAAGATTCTTGTTACCAAAGATCAAGAGTGCCCAAAATATTGTCTTTACATTAAAGTTGCATATAGCAATGATGGTATTTCATTCTCTCGTAGGAACTATGGTATATTCTTTTCTTGAAGAAGCTGGTCTTTTTCTAGGCTGCCCCATGGATACTTTGTAATCTCATGAGCAAAATTTTGAAGATGATTCATTTCTATTGATTTATGGTTGATAAACTTGCTTATCTGACTGCATTAGACTATATATATATATATATCTTGAAAAAGGATTAGTTTATCAAAAGAATAATCATCTAAGGATTGAATCCATGTTAATACTGATTATGTTGGATCGGTTGATTGAAGATAGAATGTCGACATTAGGTGCCTTTGTTGGTTGCAATCTTCTTTGCTGGATGAGTAAGAGCAAAAAATCATGGCCAAATTTAGTGCTAAAGCAGAACATATGGTCATGACTAACTTCATCTGTGAATGACGTGGATAAACTCTTACAATTTTTCTTCTTCTTTTTATTCCAGTACCTATGGTTTTAAGTTGTGAGAATCATGCTACAATCTACATTGCTAGTAATTTTGTCTTCCATAAAAAGCTTAAATTTATTAAAATCAACTATCACTTTATCATATTGTTACTCTGTATGTTGCAAGTGAAGATCAATTAGTTGATTTATTTATCAAGGTTCTTGGATCTCTTCGCTTTTTTAATCCATGTACAAACTAGATCTTGTTGATATATACAGTGTGATTGGAATGTTAGTGTATGAAAATATTTTGTTTGGTAAGTAGTCTATATTAATGTATTGCCCTTTAGAACGTTGTATCCATTTTCCTGTGTGTAGTGTTGTTTGTTTGGGTGGGAGGGTTCTAGTGAATAAGAAATATAAAATACCATACTCCATTAATATATTTCTCTCTTATCCTTGCGGTAATTTACTCCTTTCTACCTTTATGATTTTTCAATTCATATTACGCATGCCATTGAATCATTTGCTTCTCCTCTTTTCTTCTACTTGTTTATTTTTCTTTTTATGTTCTTCCTTTTTTTCGAACCCAACTTCAATATGCCAATAACTTAATGATCCTAATATTCTTTGGTAGTAAAAAACTACTCGGCATTTTCATAAGCTTATCCTTGCTATTTGGAGTCATTTTTATGAATCCATATACTCCAGTTTTTTCAAAATATTTTCACGTTATGTTTGTTCTTTACTCCATTTCTTTAGTTTTTCCACCTTAATTTATCCGTTATTCTTATTGTCACTTTGTCCTGTTATGCAATCCAAATTCCCAAGTATAGGTTTAATTATCTTGAGTACATTCAACTCCCTCTGTCCATTTGGTATAATTATTTATCAATCTATAAATTCTAATTTTGTTATGTATCCTCCAGAACATTTTCTTTTTTGCCACACAGCTTGACTATCAACGATTGTTTTATTGTTCAACACTAGATTTATATTGTAAAGTCTGTTCATTATCACAATTTTATAAAATCTTCTAAGTTCCATGATATACTCTTACACTTTTGTTTGAACAAACCAGATTTAACTGTAGAAGTTGTATCCATATGTATGTTGTCATTCTCTTATTTAAGAGTTCCAAATTATAATTAATCTTGTCTCTCCAATTTGATAATCCTGCACTGCTGAAAAACATAGTTTCATTTGTAACAGAGCATCATGAAGTAATGTTCCAACTCCGGTTGGGGCATTAAGGGCCATTAGCCTAGTTTTGTCATTACCGTTAGACTTCAGATTGTCTTCTCTTATATTTTTCTGTTAGCCTCTTTGCTTATTTAACATATTTTCCATTCACTGTATTTACGGTGCAACATCCCTTTTATTGAAATGGAGGTCTGAGATCATAGATTAGTTTTCTATGCAAGGAATGAGGTTCTTTTATCAGTCAGCTTGGTTTAAATGATGTAGGCTTTATTGTCACATGCATTTAATTTCTCATATGGAAAATAATTTATACGATAATCCAGATTTTTGTATTTTGTTTTATTTTTAAATAGCTATATAGGGTGTATATCTAAAAAAAGTAGACAAAAATCATCTGATTCATTTGCACCAGAACATCCTCGTTTGTGCCTAATTCAATCTGCCTTATGTACGATTTAGAATGCTTCAATGTTCCAGTGTTCTTCCGTCTGTTCTCTGTATTCAAGGCTTTAGTAGAAGACCTTGTTATCCTTGAAAGAACTTTGTAATCCTCCACTAACACGTATGTTTTGCACTTTCTCTAGTGTTTTGACTATCTACTCATTTCGCTGTAGTCTTTTTCTCTCTTACATAAGGAGGAATATGCTGCTTGAAAACTAGCATGGTCATGGAAGATAGACACTTGTTCAATGATAAGGAGCTATTATTTTTGTGCCTTCTCTTTGCATTAGCATTCATAAAAACAGTTCACTTATGTTGGCTTTGACATTTTCATTCCTTTTTATCTACTAAGATTTGATTAAAATGTTCAATGTGCTATCAGGTGCGGCTGATTACCCATCCTTTCACATGCTCTTAAAGCAGCTTGTTTCTCCATTAAGCACTCAGCTGTTGGATAGACGATCAAGTATAGTGAAACAGGTGTGTTGTTAATTTTGGTTGTTGAATATCTGGTGTGGCTGCATGTCTTGGTGTTATCGTGGTATTCATTATTGAGTTTTATGTGCTAGGATTGTGTGCCTCTAAATGCAAGCTATGTCCCTGAACTTGCACTGAATCGTTTTTAACACTTGACAACTGGTCTGTCTTTTTTCTTGGTTCTGATATATGTTTCTTTCTGTAGGCTTGCCATTTGCTATGCTTTTTGTCCAAGGAACTTTTGTCTGAATTTGAGGCTCATGCTGAGATGTTTATTCCGGTGATTTGATTGTCTTTTAATGGTTTGTTGATTTCCTTAAGAAGTTAATTTGATGTCTTAAGCATTTGTAAATGTTTGTTTAATTTTTAGGTACTTTTTAAGCTTGTTGTGATAACTGTACTTGTGATAGCAGAATCTGCAGACAACTGTATAAAAACGGTATGTAATTTTATACCTGAAGGATTAAATGCATGAATTATTTCTTTTAATGTTATGCATTTTCTTCCCAGATGTTTCGAAACTGTAAGGTTGCCCGTGTTCTTCCACGCTTAGTGGAATCTGCGAAAAATGATAGAAATGCAGTACTCCGTGCCAGGTAGAAGGGCTGTATGTTTAAGGATGTTTTTGTTACAGTTATTTTATCATATAATCATTATTTTTATGGGCTATATCAGGTGTTGTGAATATGCACTTTTAATTCTGGAGTACTGGGCAGATGCCCCAGAATTGCAAAGATCGGCAGAGCTTTATGAAGATCTGATAAAATGCTGTGTTGCAGATGCAATGAGTGAGGTATTATCTGACAGAGTGTAGGTATTTTTTATGCCTGCAAAAATGCTTAGCATTGCGCTGAAGGTTACTTGAATAATGGCTTCTCCACTTCATTATAATCATTTTAGTGAAGACGTATGCTTTATCTTTGATTGCTTGGTAAAAAATAGTCTCATTCTAACGTAAACTTCTATACTATTGTACAATAATTTATTTATGATAGAAGACAGTGTGATTGATTTATCTAAATCTCTAACTGTTCAAATGTGTTGATGATCTATTTTAAATCTCTAACTTTTCAAATGTGTTCATGAATGGTAATATGATGTTTGAGGATACGAATTCCTATCCATTAATAGGTATAATAATCTCTCATTCTCTCTTTATCTATCTACACATATATGCAAGTATATCATTTGTTTACCAATGTGTGAAGAATACACATTACACAGTGAACATATATCAAGCCAATTTCAGGTTGAAGCAACAATAACGAGTGAGCCAATCTGGTTAAATAAAAGCGATTTTCATTTTGAGTCTATTGAAATTCAAGTATTCAACTGATTATCTAGTGGCTTTTGTGTTCTGGACATATTTATCAATTCTATTTTTGTTTTATTAATTTTTTTTTTTCATTTCAATAGGAAGCTGATTCCCTTTTATTATGCTAGTTCAAGTTTCCATTGTCTGTGATGGACTGATTAGTTTTATCTAAAACTTGTTAGGTCCGTTCAACCGCACGGACTTGCTACAAAATGTTCTCAAAAACTTGGCCAGAACGTTCTCGGCGTTTATTTTTATCCTTTGATCCTGCCATACAAAGGGTAAGTAATATATATATATTTGTTTCTGTATGTTTCTCTTTGTACGGTCTTTACTAATAAGGTGGTATCATGTTTAGTTAATAAATGATGAAGATGGTGGCATACATAAAAGATATGCATCTCCATTGCTTCGTGATAGAGGATTACAGCCTTCACGTGTGCCATCTCATGCTGTTACAGTGAATGTTCCTGGATTTTCTACTTCCGCCATTGTTGCAATGGATAGAAGTTCCAGTGTTACTTCAGGAATGTCACTTTCCACAGGAACCCATGCTTTATCACAAATGAAGCTACGTGAAAAAGGTTCTGAAAGAAGCCTTGAAAGCATGCTTCAGGCAAGCAAACAAAAAGTCTCGGCCATTGAAAGCTTACTGAGAGGTGTTAGCTTATCAGATAAACAAAGAAATTCTAGTACACATTCGACTAGTTTGGATCTAGGTATGATTTATGATACTTTGTTTGAACATGTTGCTATTGGTTTGAATGTTTACTTATCTTTTGGCAGAACAGTTTCTAGTTTTTGCTGTTCTCTAGTGCCCATTCATCTCTTCCTTCTTAATGCTGTTTTCAATATGTCAGATATAGCTCAAGCTTTTCCCTCTTTTTCTCTTTTCTTTTGCTCCTAGTGCAGGGGTTGATTCCCCATCTTCTCGTGATCCACCAGTCCCAGCAGCTATTCCTGGTTCAAATCATCGTCTCTCTACAAGACTCAGTATTGGCTGATCCAACGTTTGTTAGCATTGCCAGAAGTAGCACTAGGAATGGTAGCTCAAGTTTGACTGAAGTTATAAATTCAAATAACCAATATGTGGGCGGTCATTCTAAATATGATAATCTAGCATCTGATTCATTGTCTTCTTTTTCATTACCTTACATGGTGAAAAGACACGCTGAAAGGCCACTAGATGGAAGTACCGTTGAACGAAATATTGATCTCAGTTTTAAGAAACTTTCGAACATGCACTTAGATAGACAGTTTATGGATGCAGCTAATAAGGACGCTGGCTTCAGGGATCTAAACAATAATTATGTTCCAAATTTTCAGAGGCCACTTCTTAGAAAGCAAGCAACTGGAAGGGTTTCAGCTAGTCGGAGACGCAGTTTTGATGATAACCAGTCTCATTTGGGTGAATTATCCAGTTATGTGGATGGTCCAACATCCCTTGGTGATGCACTTAGCGAGGGTTTGTGCTCTAGTTCAGATTGGGTTGCCAGGGTGTCTGCTTTCAACTATTTGAGAAACTTGTTGCAGCAAGGGCCTAGAGGTATACAAGAAGTTACACAGAACTTTGAGAAGGTCATGAAACTATTCTTTCGACACTTGGATGATCCACACCATAAAGTTGCGTAGGCAGCTCTTTCAACACTTGCAGAGATTATCCCCCAATGCAGGAAGCCTTTTGAAAGCTACCTTGAGAGAATCTTGCCATATGTATTTTCAAGGTTGATTGACCCCAAGGAGCTGGTTAGGCAACCATGTATGACAAACTTGGAAATTGTTAATAGGACATATGGCATTGATTCGTTGTTACCTGCACTTCTTCGTTCACTGGATGAACAGAGGTCCCCTATAGCAAAGCTGGCTGTTGTTGAGTTTGCAAATAATTCCTTTGACAACCATTCACCAAACCCTGATGGTTATAGTAATGGTGGCATTCTTAAATTGTGGCTTGCTAAACTGGCCCCTTTAGTAACCGATAAAAATACTAAACTGAAAGAAGCTTCCATATCTGGAATAATATCTGTTTATACCCATGATTCAGCCGCCGTCTTGAATTTTATCCTTAGCTTATCCATAGAAGAACAGAACTTGTTGAGACGGGCATTGAAACAGTTCACTCCCCGCATTGAGGTTGACCTAGTTAATGTCCTGCAGAGCAAGAAAGAAAGGCAATGCTCTAAAGCTGTTTATGACCCGGCAGATGTGATTGGAACTTCCTCAGATTATGGCTACAATGGATTATCAAAGAAGAGCCAGCTTCTTGGTAAGTATTCAGGAGGATTACTTGATGTTGATGGTGGGAAGAAATGGGATTCTATGCAAGAATCAATTTTAGTTGATGCCTTGATTGCAAAGACAACTTCAGATGACAGTAGACAGATATACCATAACCTTGAAACAGGGTCTGACAATGAGGTTCTTGGTCCACATAGCAAAGATTTGAGGCATAGCACAGATGTATTTTCTGAAAATACTTTTTCATGGATAAATCACACTGAAAACCTGACTCTCTTATGGATTATGAGAGCTCTATGGGAAATCAACAACTTGATATCACCCAAATGATTGGTTCTGATGGTTCTAAGGACATAGGGTCAACTTTTGGTGGGGAAAGATTGCATGATATTGAGCTCTTTCATGAGAAAGCTACTTCATCAATCAATGCAGAAGCGGAAAGTGAACTAAGCATTCCTCAAATTCTTCACCATGTAAGTGCTAAGATCTTTGTTCTATTTGCTTCATTTCTGATTGTAAAGATGAATGGAGGTCTTCTAGACATTTTTTGGTATATCTGTTTTCCTAGTTATATTCATGTGTGCGTCTTCTGTAGATATGCAGCATCAGTGGTGAGAAATCTAGTATAAGTAAACATGAAGCTCTGCAGAAACTGGTTGGGGCTTCAATTGCCAATGATAACTCAATATGGGCCAAGGTTAGCAATATATATTCATTTTGGTTTCCATTAGCGGCGCAACTTCCCCTTTGTGATGAATTTTTTCAACAAGATAAAACTTTATATGGTTTGTGTTATTGTGATTGGCTCTAATTGAACGGAATTTTATGCAATTTGACAAACACATCAACTTTAGATTATACCAACTCCTATTGTTACTCTTTAATGTTTCCTTTGTTTTTTCAACATAGTTCAGATTTGGCATAATGACATGTTCAGTTCAAGAATGTCGGGAATAAGGTCTATTAAAAGAAATACACCGTTCATATATTGTGGCCTTAGAATGTTATTAGAGTTGTTTTAGTATGCACCACATCTTCCATGTATGTCTCTTTTCCAACTTAGATTTTAACTGGTAGTTTCTTGTTTAAGGCTTCAATTCACATTATCTATTAATGTGTTGGAAATTAATACTAGGTTAGCATTTTTCTTACTCTTAGAAATCAGAGCTGAAGTTTTTCAACTGATAAAATCTTTTAACAAGTGAAATTTTTGCTCGTGAATTGATTATGTTGGGCGACGAGAAATGAGGATGATAGTGGATTGCTTGGGGGTAGAGATGTTCTCACCCGCTAAAATTTGGATTGGGACCATTGAACACTTGACTAATGGGCATTTGTGATTGAATTTTGCTAGAAACTAAAGTGATTATGCTAAGGGATTTTTTAACGTTTCATTTTGTTTATATTTATAAAGAAGCTTTTGAGATTGATTTGTTCGGCATCTAATTGTGTATGAATTTTTTTAAAATGCTTGAAATTTATCCTAAATATTTATTAATTGAAGGGAAGGTATCAAGTTAGTTATAGATTAAGGCATGATGGTAGTTTCAAATAAGCATGACACATGACTAGTTACTGATTGATTTATATGTAGCGAGCTAATGAATACTTTGTTAAATGTAACAATTTAGAGCTGAACTCGTGACCTAGATCTACTATCTAGGTAACTTAGTGCATACTGCTTGAGTAGTAGCTCTTTGGCTGGTTTATAGTTTTATTGTGAGATATTGGAAGCATTATTTATTTAAAGAGAACATTTCTCTTACTCTTGAGGTGGTTTCATCTTTTTTTTCTTTCCGAAATCCTTTGTTGATTCCAGATCATGCAAACATTTGAAACTATATATTCTGTTATATATATATATATATATATTCACAACCAGACTTAAATAATTGGAATACCAACTTGGCAACAAACAGTCGGACTGCCGTTAAATTTCTTTTAAATAATAGCTAAAATAATCTAATAAACTATCATTCAAAATTTATAAAGAGCTACTAATTATCCATCACAGTTTAAAACACATGATTCAAGTTTATTCCAAAGTTTTCCAAAATCATTGAGTTAAAATCAAATGCATAGAATATATATATATATATATCTATTTTCATGTGCTCATCTTCTTATGTATATAAAACCTTCTTTGTCAGTCATCTAATCTATAGGATCCTTACATGAAATATTTCATTTAATAGGTTGAGTTTTAATCATTAAACTCAGTGCTAATTATAGTTCTATAATATAGAAATTTAAAATAATTAGAAAATATATAACATATAAGTCATCCTAAATAATCATTAAATCTTTCATTTATGAAAGTTTAAATGTGCTTACTTGGTAAGATAAAAATAGCATTTTACAATTGAAAGAATCTTATATTGTATTTATCAAATTATATACTTTAATATAACACTCATTTCAGGAGAATTATCTAAAGTTTGCATTAATTAAGAAACAATCATTTTAATTTCTATTTTTTTCCAACATTTTTCGTTTTACCTGCATACGTAGTTTGCATTCTAAATTAGTACTTTAAAGGGGTAATTTTTTTCATTTAACAAGTATATGCACTTCATTTCATTATATTCCTTTCATTATCTTATTTTATATTTATATTTAATTTTGCACATACATGACTTTTAATAAGATGCTTTCACATTTAACCTTTATCACAATATGATAAAGGTCATTTGATGATTTCTTAGTAAGGCTTACAAATATTATCAAGTTATAATAGGCCATATAAATTAATGCATTAAATCATAGAAATTACTTCAACTGCTTTAAAATAGAAATGTAGTTGCCTAGTTCAATTCCTTTGAGAAGATTAATTCTTTCACTTTGAGGTTACTTCAATGTTGGCCTAACCTCACTCAATTCTTTCTTAATTCACAACTTATGCATTATGTGCACATTCGTAACGTTTTAATTATTTAATTCAAAACTAACATTTAAATTTAAGTCTTCTGATTGATTTTATGCTTCACTCTTTTTCACTTAAAAGTCTTGGTTTTGAAAGATAAAGAAAATCCGATCTTTCATATATTTCTTTTTCTTAAAACCACATTGAAATCTTGATACAATTCCATAGGAAGTTTGCATTAAGGTTTATTAAATTGTGCTATAATTCTTGTTCTTTTTTTCAAATCTAACCATCAATATATCTTTTATAAAATATAAATCACATACTAGACACTTGTTTTTTGCAGTCTTTCCCTATCTATCTCTTTCTTCTTTCCGTCTTCCTCATCTCACCCCAACTTTCTTTTCTTTTCAAGCCTAGCGTCAAAGGAATCGAATGTAGCATCGAAGGCGTCAAAGACAACATTAGAAGTGTCGAACGACGTCAAAGACAACATCACAGATGAACGGCTTCCACCATTCAATATTTCTTTCTATCATATGAGTTTGCAGACTCTATATTCATCTTCTTTCTTCTGGAACAAAATCCCTAAAATGATTCCTCTCAGTTGAACGTAATCGTATACCCTAATTCTTTTTCTTCCTTTTCTTTTCCGAATGAGAGTCGCACAGACACTTTTTTCCTTCTTTCTCTGGCACCTACTCTTTTGTTCGATCCATTTCTGCTCGATCTGTTTTTGTCAAGGATTCACGTCTCTGTGAAGAGGTAGAACTGCAGGCTTTATATACATACATACATATACATATATATATACATACATATACAAACATATATATATATACAAATAGACAAACACATAAAATATTAATTCTTTTAATATAACTATTATGGTGAGTGCATTTACTTATTTTCTAATTCAGAAAAATTTCAAAATATCCCCCAAATTATTCAGTAATGGCCAATTTAGCCTAGAGTATCATGTTGCCCTAATTTAGTTTCTCATATTGGAATAATGACATAAAATTGATCACAATTTATCTCTTGATTTTACAAAATAGATCTCAATATAGTCCCAAAGGGACCATTTTGGATCAATTTTGTATAGTCAATGGACTAAATTGGAGCAATGTTATACTATAGGCTTAAAATGGTTTTATACAAATAGTTAGATGACTATTTTTAAATTTAACGAGTATTGTAGTTAACAAAAAACCTCTTTGATTCACGATTCTTATTTCTTCATACTACTTTTCAATGAAGGTTACATAAATATTTCCGGGCATTTTCAGTTTCAACAAGCCAGTTATTTCAAAATTCGGATTAGGCAAACTCTCGAACTTTGAAGGAAAAAAATCTCTCTCTTTATCATAGAATCATAATTGCTAGGGCATTCGAAGATCAACTAGTCCTATGCAGCTGAATTTGAGCTAATTGAATGCTGTGCGATGATAATCATGTACATGCATTTAGAAAACGAACACTTGAGAGGATAGCATTTTAACTTGTTTGATGGGTTATTAAGTTTTTTAGTGGATTAAACAAGTTGAAAATATTGCAAAGTATGAACTTGTTACCTAAAAGAGGATCCTTATCGAGAGTTTCTGGAATTGGTTTCTTTTCTAATAAATTTAATATTTAACTTTGGTGGCTTAGAAACACTGTTAATCCTTCATATAACTATTAGTAAATGGAATCTTAACTATGATGTACAATTAAAGAGTTCTTTTTTTCTTTTCAGAGACATTCTTGGGCTATAAAATTTGCCAAAATATTTGTATCGATGTGAACTCTTTAATATTGGAACAAGCTTTGGTGTGAATACCATGCATTGCTTATGTACTGATTTGGCCGCTCTATTATAAGTTTTGAACTGTACTTGCATCAGTTGAGCTTAGTTTCATTGTGTAATAGACAATTTTTGTCTATTGTTATATACTATGCTATGATGCACAAACATAGACACGGGACACATTAATTATTGAAAATATATGATAGATACGGGTTAGACATGATATTATAATTTTTATATATTAAAATAATTTATAAATTTTGAATAAACAAAATATTAAGAATAATTGAAAAATAATAAGTAATTTAACTAGGATTTATGCTTAAATTGATTAATATTAGGATGTCGAGAGTTGGATGTTAAAGTTGTGTTAAGCATCGAGAAGGGAGATGACAATGTTCTCGATAGTCAGACATCGTTGTTTTGTAATAGGCATTGAGCATTGATGTCAAGACGGCATCGGTCTTCGATCTCAAGATGACAGTGGTCTTCGATTTTAAGACGATATTAGATAAAGATGAGATGTCAAGATGACATGGGGGCGTGATTGTGGGTGTAAAAATTGTCGGAGTCAAGCGTCAATGTCAACACAATGTCATATTTTAATTTTGAGATGGTTTTGAAATGTTAATGTTCTGATGACATTGGACGTCGATATTGAGATAATTTCGAGCGTTGTTGTGCAATCCTATCTGCAAATTACAAGAGAGAAATAATATGAAAATGTTTAGGGGATGAGGCATTGAGTTCTGTCAATTGATTTGGGGTTATGGAGAGGAAATAAGAAATTTAGTTTTTTTTTTACTAGAAAAATTTTTAGATATAATAAATTATATTTATAAAATTTTTCATAAATATTTTAGACATGTGTATCCAATTTATTTTTAATCGGACACATCTTCAACATGTTCGACACTTATCGAAGGAGTGTCGGACACGTACCATGTCCAATATGTGTCAGACACTGCATACCTATTTGAGGAGAAGTATCGGTGCATCGTAGATATCATATTATGCCAACTTACAATTGCATAATGATTATGCGAGTTATGGCACATAATTTTTAATAAACTTGTGGTTTCCTTATGTTTATTAATTCAATGTCCAGCAAGGAACACTAGGATAAGAGGTGCATACTTATGGTCGTGTTTTCAATTTAGTTGCAGCTGCCGAAGCCTTTTTTGAACACATTGTTAGGCCTGTACATTATGCGGAGATTTGTTTCACCAACCCATTCATTTCAATTGTACAAGATACATAGTTTTGCACCCATGCATCATCCCATATTTTAATTTGTTGGAGTTAGTGGTGTGGATTTGGTGAACCTTTAAGGTTTGACTAATGTGAGGGATGCTATAGCTGACAACTGATTTTATTTCTACAGTACTTCAATCAAATTTTAACGGCTGTCTTTGATGTTTTGGACGATCACAATTCTTCTACAAGGGAGCTTGCTCTTTCTTTGATACTCGAAATGCTCAACCATCAGGTTACATTCAGCCCTTCACATATAAAATTGTATGTGTTTTTTATTTATTTCATGGGCGCAATTTGTGATGTTTGTTCTAACTGACGACTTCTGGTAGAAAGAGGCCATGGAAGATTCAGTTGAAGTTGTCATTGAAAAATTACTTAATGTGGCTAATGATTCAGTTGCAAAGGTGTCATCCTTTTCTTCTCCTTTGGGTAATTTTTTGTCTTGTCTTTGCATCTTAGTTATTCTGCCTATATGCAGGTTTCAAATGAAGCGCACCAATGCTTGACAATTGTGCTAACCAAGTATGACACGTTTAGATGCCTTTCTGTATGTGCTTCCCCTTTACCATCATTTACTTTTTATTTCTCTCTTATTCGAGTATATATATATATATACATGATGTCTGTTGGGTTTTTTTTTTTCTGAATATTTTTCATTTTGCAATATGCAGGTTATTGTACCTTTGCTGGCTAGTGATGATGAAAACATGCTTGTTACTTGCATCAATTGTTTGACCAAGGTCTCTCTCTCTCTCTTTATATATATACACACACACACACAAATACACAACAACAAAAACAACAATGAAAAGAACTTTTTATCCCATTACGTGAGGTCGGCTACATTAATCCTTTTTCTCCATTGAGCTCTATTAAGGCAAATCATTATAACCATAGAGTGAAATGAGTGCACAATTAACAATTATAGTGCATTTCCCAATCACAATGTAAAAGAAAAAAAAGATAAATGATGGATAATAGTTTGTCAAAGTAGAAAATATTAATATATTAGATGCATGATAAGCTCTAATTTGTGTCTCGCTTGAAGCCTGGTGAATATTTTGTGTGATGCTAAATTTTTTTCTCATTTATGCCCTCTTGGAAAACATGGTTTGAAACCTTTATCCACTTGGGTATTAATACTCTAAAAACTGCCATCCAAATTATCAGATTGAGTGGCATTAAACTACTTGTCAATATTTACATAACCATGGCTCTATTCTCTGCAGGATATGTAATAATGGTTTTGGATGGAGAAGTGCTTATGTTATTCTCCACTAAACCTATTTCAATAAAGGACAGCTTTGTTGGATCTGATTCTATAATACCTACTAGAGTTTGTTCAAGATTTGATGTATATGCTTGTATCAAGGAAGATGGAACTACACTTACCACGTGAAATGATATTTTAATTATTTAAATGCTCCCAATGTTCTTACTTACAAAGATCGATAACAGATGATTTTCTGGGTTCCAGATGAGCTCTGAAGTAATCATAGTAGTTGTGCTAAAATTTTTTAAATATGACTTTCTATCAATGGTGACAAGAAGACAAGCAAGTCCAAACTTCACCATTCAGAGACATAGTAACATCCAATTCAATTAAAATCCTTGCCACAAATGGCCTAAAGAGGTGATCTGTAGCACATCTATTTACTAGGGTTTGCTAAAGATATAACTTAGAGAATAAAATTTACAACAAATAATAAACAAAATTAAGCTTTAATCCCACTATGTGGGGTCGGCTACATGAATCTTTTTTCTCCATTATGCCCGGTTAAGGGTCAAATTCTCATTTAAATCTAATAACTAATAAGGAAAGGCCATATCTTCTAATATTTTCTAACCAAATCTTTTTATGTCTAACTCTATCTTGTTTTCACATAAGCCAAATCTAATGCATCTACTCTCCTAACTAGGTCATTGGAAGGCCTCCGTTTTATATAACCAAACCATCTATAAGTCGATTCTCACTAATCTTATCTTCCGCTTGAGATACTCCAACCTTTTCACATATATGCTCGTTCCGTATCCTGTCTCTAAGAGTTAAGCCACTCATCCACCATAGCATGCTCATATCTGCAACACTTAACTTAATAGTATGCTTCTCTTTTAATGGCCAACATTTTGCATCATAAAGTATTGCAGGTCATATCATTATCTTATAGAATTTTTTCTTAAGTTTGAGGGGGACTTCTTTATCTCACAACAAGCCCAATGCATTCCTCTACTTCAACAATCAAACTTGAATTCTACTTATAATATCCCCATCTATTTCACCATTACTTTGAACAATAGACCCAATATATTTAAAACATGTACTCTTATTAATGACTTGATCGCCCAAAAGTCTCAATCCCCCCACTAGATTATTACTACTAAAATTATACTATATATATTCAATTTTAGAGCTACTCAAACGAAAATCTGTAGACTCTAAGGTTGACCTCCATAATTCAAGTTTACCTTCAACTCCCTCTCTAGTCTTATCAACAAGAAGAATATCATCAGCAAATAACATTCAACAGGGTACAACCTCTTGAAAATGTCTAGTGAGAACATCCATGACTAAAACAAGAAGATATGGGCTTAAGGTTGATCCTTGATGTAATCCAATTGAAATAGGAAAATACTTGGTTAAACCACATTGTATTTGAATACAAGTAACACCTATTGCATATATATTCTTAATGACTTGAATATAAGCATTATTAACCCCTTTTCTTCTCTAGAATTCTTCATAGCACTTATATTGGAACTTTATCGAATGCTTTCTCTAAATCAATAAATATCATCTATAGATCTTCCTTATTCTCACTATACTTCTTCATTAAATCTCTCAATAAATGAATAGCTTCCATAGTAGACCTACCCGGCATGAATCCAAATTAATTTTGAGAAACATTAATATCACGGCACAACCTATGCTCCATAACTCTGTCCTATAGTTTTGAAGTATGACACATTAACTTAATTCCTTTATAATTCACAAAATCTTGTGCGTCACCTTCATTCTTAAAAATAGGAATCAACATACTCATTCTCCACTCATTTGACATCTTTTTTGTCTTTAAAATGTTTAGTAAGCCAAGAAATTCCTTCCGTCTCCTAAGCATTTCCACACCTTTATTGGAATATCATATGTTCCAACAGTTTTTTTACACTTATTTTTCTTTAAAGCTTTTCTAAGTTTGGTTTTACTAATACGCCAATAAAAATAAAAATCTTTTTTGTTATTTAGGGTGATAATATCACTAAAATCAGTTGCATTCTCACAATATTTATTGAAAATTTTAGTAAAATATCTCATCTACCTTTGTTGAATATTCTCTTCTAATAAAATCACTTTTTAATCTTCATTCTTAATGCACTTCACTTTAACTAAATCCTTACTAATATATGTTAGTTTGGATAACTTATACATATATGTTTTGTCTTTCGTAGTAGTTAATATTTTATATAAATCATTAAAAGCTAAAATTTTTGCATTGCATATGACTTTCTTAGACTCTTTACGAGTTTGTTTATATCTTTCCTAATTATCTAAATTATTACATCTAAACTAATATGTTTAATAAAATTGTTTATTTTTTTATATTTTTTTTTGTACATTTTGATTCCAGCTAGCTACTACTATTTTTGCTATTATGAGCTTTTTTCTTTGATACTCTAAGCACATTATTTGAAATATTCTTAATATCACTAGTTATTTTTTCCCACATAATATTTGCTTCTTCATGCACAGACAAAATCTTAAAATCTAAAATCTTACTCTCAAAAATATTTTGTTAATATTCTTTAAATGCCCCATCTAATCCTAGTACAATGTTTGATTTTTATTAGAAAAGTTGCGAGCGCGGCAAACTAAATTCAAAAAAGTGGAAAGGAAAGGGCTACCGACCACATAAAGGAGGGTCAATTTTAGCATACATATTTTTATTTTTCATAAATGAATAGCATTTCTAGCGGAAGGGGCCGGGGATAGCCAAGCTAGTAGGATAGATGGCAAATAACTCGTAAACTAATAAAACCAGCCAAGGCCCAATAACACGTGACCCACATCAGACTCAATAACACATTACTAAAAAATATATAAATCCTCATCTCACATGAAATTTACTGCCAAATACTTGATGGAGGATCCTAGTTAGATCAATCTATGATCAATCCTCATGACATGTTTATTTGCTTTATTCTAGAGTGTGCTTGCTTTCAGAATTCTTATTCCTCCTATGTTATTATACGCTACTTCTACTGTCTCTTCAATTTGTCAGATCTTCTCATGTGTCTGATTAACTGGGCCGAAGTAATGTTTTTTTTTTTCTATATTCATTCCCATGCAGCTGGTAAGCCGCCTTTCGCAAGAGGAGCTGCTGTCTCAATTGCCTTTATTTCTTCCTTCTATCTTTGACGCATTTGGAAGTCAAAGCCTGGATGTTCGAAAGGTTTGAACCTGCTGCCTCCATTTAAATAACCATACATATATTGATGTAGGATACATTTATTTTGTTAAGGACCCATTTCAATTCAGAACTTAAAATTTAAATAACCATCTATATTCATATAGAACACATCAACTCTATCTGGTCTGGATCCAGTTTTTAATATGTTTATACAACTAGTTCCTGGTTGATGTGTGCAGTATTAGTGTCCCACTTTTCGTACTGCTTTTTAACATGATTTTTTAGTACAAAAATTTCAAATTCTAGAAATTTTTGTACCAAAAAACTGTTTTGAAAAGCAAGAAGAATGCCTGTCACAAACAAAACCTAAGTCAGATTCAACTTGAACTCATCAATATAATATTGATCCATAGTTGGAATATTATGCTTTTCTGAAGAATCCTTCTCTCCGCCATTCAAATTGAAATCATTCTTGATTCTTTGTCTGGATTTTCTACAGGGTGTTGTGTTCTGCTTGGTAGATATCTACATCTTGCTTGGCAAATCATTCTTACCATACCTGGAGGGACTAAGCAGCACCCAACTCCGCTTATTTACCATATATGCCAACCGTATTTCTCAAGCGAGGTCCATTGCTACAGGTGAAGCTAAACATGGCTGAAAGTATCAACTCTTTCATCTTCATCTTCTTCTTCTTCTTCTTCTTCTCTCTTATTTGTTTGTACCAATATATGAGGCTGTTGATTCATTGTTGTTCATTTTGTATGGTTCAAAGGTCTTTTTCTGGACGAGGAAGCTGATTTGTTTTGTTCTTCTGTGTTTAAGGGTGTTTGTATATGATTTGTGTGGCTGCCGTAGAAGTTGCAAGTGTGAGCGAATGAAAGTTAGATGAGTATCTAACATGAACTTTGGTTTTCCAAATCCTTGCATATTAGTAGCAATATGTAATTCCAGATAACCTCTTCCAGCTTTGTTTTTGTTTTTATAGTATATTGGTAATGCAGGGTTCTATATTCTCAACATTTGGTTTGTTCAGTATTGTTGCTTCAGTGTTTAGATTTACGATTAATTATTATGTGTGGACGTTGAATGCTGTCCGAAGATCAATCAGAATGAGCCATGTCACTTCTGTGTTCGATACTAAGGCTCGGTACTGATCGGTGCCGCGACTCGGTACCGTTGACTTAGCGCATTCTAGTTTGTCTCTGGATGGCGTTCTATATCCGGTCTTCGCACAGAATAATTTCTCCAGACTTAAAAGGATCATGAAGAACTAACTCGTTCAGAGAAATTTGGTTAGTTACTTCAACAGTAGTCTGGTTTTCCTATTTGTTTTCCTATTTAGGATCACTGGTTTGTCTGTTGGCTGATTTATTTTTTGTTTAGGACAACTTTCTCACTTTCCAAAGTAATTTTTCAATGCAAATTTTTTTTTTTTTTGAAATAAAAATTTGGTACTAGATAATTTCTTAAGAAAATTATCCCAAACGAAACCTTAACCTGCAATTAAGTGTGTGATAAGGTTAGAGTAATTCTAAAGGCTTATAAGATTATAGGGAGTTGATTTAGAAGATTTGGTCACATAAAATATTAGTCTTTTGATGATAGAGTAGATGTATTAAAATAGCCTATGTTAAATAAAGGTTAAGGCGTATGTAGGTTTCATTTGGGATAATTTTTTTTTTTATTTTTTAAAGCAGTATTTTAGTACAAAATAATTTTGAATTAAAAATTTTTTTATCAAGAAAAGGTTTTAAAAATCAGTTAGAAAGTATATATATATATGAGAATTTCACTCTTAATACTAATAAGGAAATCATGGTGAAAAATATTACAGTAATCCGATAAATGGGATGTAGGGGTGTGAGTGAGCCATGCCAGCTCGAGCTTGATGATGTTAGGCTCGTGAGTTTGTGAGCTGAATAATTATTAATGTTTTTAAACATTTTATTTTATTTTATTTAGTAAATTTAAATATTAAAATATATAATAATAAATAATTATAATAAATGTTAAAACATTTATAAAATTTTAAATATTTAATTTAATTAATATTATTTAGAAAAGTCCGTTGAGACTTGTGAGTTAACTCGAGCTTGCTTATAGTGTGACAAGCTCGAGTTCGAGCTCGACTTTGAGCTCGAGTTCGATATTTGACAGTTTAACTTGACACGAACACCCTTTGACTTGAGCTCGACTCGACTTGTTTGTACTTCTAGTGGGATGAAGGCTAGATGTCTCATGCGCCGGTGTTAACGCACATATGTTCTATCATATCAACATAGATAATCACCTATGTGAAATATATTGTAAAGGTATTAAAAATCTTATTAATGAGCTGAATTTTTTAAAGAAGACTTGATTAAATATATGTTTCGTTTGAGATTATTTTCTTACTGTTTTCTTAAAAATTATTTTTTAGTAAAAAAAAAAATTTCATTATAAAAATATTTTAAGAAGCAATACCAAACAAATCCAGAGAGGTATTCTTGGGATGAGAATCACTAGAAAAATTAAATATTTTATTTTATTTAGTAAATTTAAATATTAAAATAATAATAATATATGTTTAAAACATTTAATATTAATATTAAGTATTTAATTTAATTAATAATATTTAGAAAAGTCCGCCGAGACTTGCAAGTTGACTCGAGCTTGCTTTATAGATGTGACGAGTTCGAGCTCGACTTTGGAGTTTGTTTCGACTTTGAGCTCGAGCTCGATATTTGACAGTTGAGCTCGACTCGACTTGTTTGTACTTCTAGTGGGATGAAGACCAGTTGTCTCATGCGTCGGTGTCAGTCGAACATATGTTCTATCATATCAACATATATAATCACCTTTGCGAAATATATTGTAAAGCTATTAAAAATCTTTTTAATGAGCTGAATTTTTTAAAGAAAGACATGGTTAAATACATGTTTCGTTTGAGATTATTTTCTTATAATTTCTTAAAATATTTTTTTAGTAAAAAAATAATTTTTTATTATAAAAATATTTTAAGAAGCAATACCAAACAAAGCCAGAGAGGCTTTGTCTATTTTCTTACTACATTATAAATTTCTTTACTACAAAATTACCTCTTCATCATATGCAATTCGTGGTTCATTAAGACGTTGTTTGTGAAACTTTTTTGCTGCTTCTTAAAGCATCTTTTTAGTAAAAAAATTAAAAATTTTTGTACTAAAAGACTGCTTTAAGAAGTAATAAAAAAGCTATCACAAATGAAGCCTTTGTATTTAAATTAGTATCATAAATTAACAAAAAAATAAGTTTTTTGTATAGGTGCTAATCACTTCTGCTAGTTAACATATCATCATAATTTAGTGGTGAAAGAATTACAATTTTTTAAACATTGAAAAACTCTCCTTCAAATTATTTAAATTAAATACTTTTTTGAATTCCATTTGTAAATAAATTTCTAAAACTCGCCTTCAAATTATTTAAATTAAATACTTATTTGAATTCCATTTGTAAATAAATTTCTAAAAATAGCTTTTATCGCTAAGTGCATGACAAATATATTTGGATCCATAAATTTTAGGATTTTTTTATAAAAATATTTTTTTATATATGACAAAGATTTTGTTTGGGATAGTTTTCTTATAGCTTTTTAAACTTGCTTTTTAGTATAAAAATTTTTAGTTCTATAAATTTTTGTACTAGAAAGCTACTTTAGAAAATAGTAATAAAGTGTCCCAAACAAAGCCAAAGTTGCAATGGATCAGCCAATTGTTCCTCACCAGCTAGATGTAATTATCTTCTTTAATAGATACCATTCTTGATATAAATGACAATCAATTTGGATATCATTAACTCTTTAAAACAAGATAAAATCATTAGCAATGTAGTTTGTAACTTGCTTAGCACAGCTTAAGATCTTGAGCAAGTTAATAGGAAAATTAAATTCTTTAAAAGAGTTTTAAGGCTTCATTTGAGACAACTTTTTTTTATTATTTTGTAAAATTATGATAAAGAAAGTAACTTTTTAAAGTTGTAGAAAGCAGTTTATTAGTACAATTTTTTGCATGTATCGAAAAAATATTTTTGTACTGAAAAAAGCTAAGCAGTAAGAAAGCTATATGGCACAACTTTTTTATTGTATTCTAACGCAGCTTTAAGTGGTTCTTTGAAATTTGTGTGTGCTTACTATTATAAAAAAGAAAAAAATATATGCCAGGTTCAGTCATGGTTAGATAAATATGTTAATTAAGTAGTTGCTGAAAAATGAGAAATGTCTTTGAAGACTTATTAGTTCTCATGAGTCTTTAGAATTGCATCCAAGAAGATAAATTTTTCTAAGGACCATGGTATATTTTGTTTGTTTGTTTGTGTGTGTGTGTGTGTGAGAGAGAGAGAGAGAGAGAGAGAGAGAGAGAGAGAGAGAAAGAGAGAGAGACTATGAGGTTGTTTGGTTGGAGGGATTTTGGGTGTAAGTTGTAACGCATTTGAAATGCTGGGATTCAAAATTTTTCGTTTTGTTGGGATTTAAGCAAATTCAAAGTATTAATTTTAAGAATTTCTAAATTAGCGAATAGCTTATTTTTTAGTGAATTCTAAAAAAAATTGAATTGGATGATTTCAAGTTTGTTGCTTTTGCTTCAAAATCTTACGCCACAAGCTCCTATGCATGGTATTGCGATGTTGCATGGACACTCGATGCTGCTAGAAGCTCCACGCTACTTCCTCCTTTGTATCATTGTGACCTTCATGCACTTCCACATTGCCTTCATGACCTCTGTGCTCTCCATGTCGCCCAACATCACGAGTCACATCCTTGACCTACGCACTATTTTTGCATGCACAACAACACCTTACGTTGATGCCACCTCCACCTCCACCTCTGCACCTCTACTCGTTGCTCACGACTTAGATCCACCTTCACCTTTGTCATTGGTACCTCCAATTCGAGACAAGTCCCCCACACGGATTAGCTCTATTTATTATTATTAGGTTTATTTTTTAGATTATTTAATTAGTTCCAATCCAACACAAAAAATTATCTCCTAAGTTTCTAATACCTTATGCTTAAGTTATAATATATTTAAAATCCCTCTGAATTCACAATATTTAAAATCAAATGTCCCCTTTATGCAAACTTAATATCAAGAAAATATTTTTGACATTACAGACCTTTAGTAAAAATATCATATAAATATATATACTATTTTATTTTAGTAATGTTAGAAGCATCACTTCTTGTGAGTACAATATCCTTAATATACACAACAAGAATCATGGTGCTACAAAAAAAGTATCAAATAAAAGATAAAATGATCATTAGTATTACTTTACAAAAAAAAGTATCATATTTTTGTTCTCTTTAAAGAAATATACCTTTGAGATTATTCCATATAAACAATTTTGATGAGTTCCTCATAAATAAACAAAAATTATGGACATCTATTGGGAGCATTGAACAACTTTGATTAGTGGCAATAAGAACATAATTTAGGAGAGCAATTGATGATAAAAGTCCCCATTGTAGTAAATGTCATATATTAAAGTACATTCTTTCATCACCAATCGAGTGTTATAGCTATTTATGTATTATAACAATAAAAAAAGTCATAAGCATGGAATTAATAATAAGATCCATTATGAAGAAATGAGTTTAATCTCAGAAGGGGGTGAAACTAAATATTAAGTATGATGATTAAGCAAGGCACCCATGCATTTTACCATCCATTATGTGTTGCCAGCTATGGTTGAGTAGATATTCTTAATATATCACTTGTCCATAGAATAGGGAGTAAATGATGACAAGGAAAATCATTTAGAAGAAGGAGATATATGATAAAAAATATATAAAAGAGTGTAGTGGATTTATTGCGCTTTGGCCATTGTCTTTTTGAAAAGCAATATAAAGTTGTTAGTGTAAATTTTTATTGAACTTAAATGATTAATCATAATAAATGAGATGGTGTAAGATTCTTTAGAAGGTGGTTGTCATGGAGTCCGTGTAATCATGTTATTAGCACCACTTTTGTTACCAACTCTCTAGCACATAGATGAAATTCTT